CCTTCGTGCTTTCACATGATTCTGGAAAAACCACCTTTGTGTAATCTACAATTCTTATTTGTGGATTTATAAATACTGTTTGTGGTTGAATAGTCATCTCCTTAGCTTTAATTTCAATTTTTGGATATCCTTTCAAGTGTTTTTCATTAAATTCTGCTGTTACAACTTGCAGAGGTATTCCAATTTGTGGTGCTGACAGTCCTACATAGTTATTACTTTGGAAGGCATTTCGTAATTTTTTTAATAAGATATTGAGCCTCGGGTCTACAAATGTCATCTTCACAAATTTCTTCTGATGATACTCGTAAATTTGGATCACCTATTTGAACAATATACCAATGAACCATAAGGTGGATCATTAGGTTTTGGTTTAACCAAATTAGCGTACCAGGTCCTCAATGTTTTGAAACTGATATAACGTACACTTTGTTACATTCTCATTTTTAAAAATGATTCAAGTTTTTAAATCCTGTTTTTTCCTTTACATAACCTTTCAAAAAGCATGGATAACCACAGAATAATTATTTATTTGTATTTAATTATATTATATTAAAAGGATTTAATGAAAAAGGTGTTTTATTCTCCATTTTAGCCCATGGATGGTGGGCACGAATATTTCAACATGAGATAGACCACCTCCAAGGTCGTACGGTTTGTTAAAATATTTTAATAATATAAAATTTTGATCTCCTAATTGTTTTGTTATATTATCGTAATAACGTATTGAGCTATTGAAAATAAACATAACTAAATAAGACTGTCAAATTGACTCTCTTGAATAACGTCTTCTTCTTCTGAGTACCTTCTGAGTACCGTGTCTAGGTTTTTAGGTGTGGGTAGCTTTCATGGAGATTTGCGGATATCGTTCTCGATCTTGCGCGGCATGTAATAATTCATCAGCTGATAAGCCATTGACGAAGGTTTCAGATCCTAAAAATTAATCTTTTTCCATCGATCGTTCCGTTGTGTATCAACTGCATTATCCTGTATCTGCTTTCTCTCATTATATGCCCCAGATATTCTAGATTTCTCTTGTTTATTATCTTTATAAGTCACCTTTACCTTGACCTACTCTGTTCAAGACTTCTCTGTTGATATGAACCACATGCGATATGAACCACATCTGCGATATAACCACATCTCGAAGGCTTTTAATTTGGTCATCATGTTTAACTTCATAATCCAGGTTTCTCCAGGTTTTTAAAACTGAATTCTCAGCTCAAGTTCAGCTTGAGCTGAGAATTTAGATTTAAGTTTCATAAATACTCCTCTTGCAATTTCTATACAAGTTCTAATTTCTTCATCCGGATTTAGTGTCATCGGTTCATTACTGACAATTAGTTGTATAGCGCCGAGGTCTTGTTTACTAACCACAAGTAACTTTGTCTTAGTTGTATTTATGCTTAGTCCGTTATTAGAGCATTCTCTAGTGACTCGATCTATAAGGACTTGAAGATCTTCGATAACACTCGTCATATTTTCTTTGTAGTTCTTTCATCTCACGACATCTCTGTTTCATCCAGGCCTCTTTTGCTCGCTTAACCTCGTATCTTATTTGTCGATATATTTCTCTATATCGAGTCTCATCTTTATTTTTACAATTTCTTCTTTGCTGAATAAGGTCTAGTATATTATCGGTCATCCAATCCTTTTTCTTTACTGACTTTTTTTCTGATTTCAAAACTTCGTCTGCTATGCTAACCATGGCGGAATTCATTATATCTATATTTTGTCCGATATTTTCTTGTTCAGTTCTTTGTAGCTGTTTATTCATATCATGATTTATCTTATTTCCGAACTCATCTGCTATTACGGCATTTCTTAGGAGTCGATTATTATGTTTTTTTTTTTGAGCTGTCGGGTTTTTATTATTTCTAATTTTAGTTTGAATCCAGCACAGAGCAGATTATGATAGTTGCTGCGTCTGCACTTGGGAATGTTTTTGCAGATGTAATACTGTTTCTAAACGTTCTGTTAATAATAATAATGTAGGAAATATTTAGCATAATTTTATTTGTTAGTTACGCCACTGCGAGATACCACTAAAACCATATTCTTAAGGCGCCCCAGACAGGTCGTCATCGCGGGAAAGAGACAGGAAAAATATAGACAAAATCACACATGCCGGACCTAACAGGGATTCGATTTGACTCTCGCGCGGTGAAGGTTAATTATTGTGCAACGCCCGCCAGAGAAAAGACGAAAACTATTAACGACGGGGTGTCCGATATTTTAATTCGCAGACAATTATCCGCAATCTTGTAATTTTGTGTACCTGTAAATACCACCCTTACAGTTTATTGTTATGTTGTTATGTGATAAAGACATCTCGTATGGATCGCGGACTTTTATTCTAACGTTAGTTCCCTTTCAAATAATAAAAGAACCTTAATTAAGACCTACAATAATGTAGTCGATTTGGTTTCTGACTACCTTTCCTTCTTGATCAGCTGGAGATTTCCAGGTATATAGTCGTCTTTTAAGTTGTTGAAACAAAGTATTTGTTATAATACAATTCTCTTCTTGGTAGAACTGTATTAGTCTCTGCCATCTGTCGTTCCTTTCTCCAAGTCCACACTTATCCATACTTTTTTGTACGTACTTAACTTTATTTCCTAACATGGCAGATGATTTGACATTGTCCAAATAACGGTTGTATATTTTGAAAAGTCTTTACAAAAAGTAAATGTAAAAATTGTATCCAATACAGCAAAAATCAAAAATTATCGAATATTACTTCCACTACTGTACGCACTGTCAAGAAGGGTTTGGTAGGCCCAAGGGATAGGGTCATACCGCTTTAATTTCTTCGCTTATTGGTTGCGGAGAAGATTGTATGCCAGGGTGTTAGGACACACGCGCAACCTGTTTTGATATTGTTCAGAAATTCTGTTGCGCTCTTCAGAGACTGTTAGTACCTGGAAATCTTTAGATTGAAATCTTTTTATTTTCATAACATTAGATTTGCTAGCTGATCCCCAGAGCTGCGAACCATACGACCAAACGGGTTTTATTATAACTTGTATATCAGCAGCTTGTTGTCGATCGATAGGTGTGAGTTTTTTCCCAGCATCCAGTAAAGTTTTCTGTATAAAATTCCTAGTTGTAGTCTTAGTGTTAATCTTTTGTCCAGGTGAATGCCTAGATATTTTACGTCATCTTTTTGGAGTTAAGGATAATCTGTGCCATTTTCTATTGCAAAGGAAAGTAATGTAGATTTAACATAGCATTAAAGATCATTATAATTATTCTGTAGCAATCTTGGGTTAGTTCTTGAAGGACCTTACCTGTAATGTTGGGTTTTATCTTTTTTTTATTATCTGTTTTACTGCTTTAATGTTAAATTGGAAGATTGGTAGTTCCATTTGATATGGAGCGTCAAGAAAAAAATGAAGTGGTTCTTGTTCCACAGAAACTTCTCTGATAAATGAACTAAATACTTTCGAAAGATGTTCTGCAAATGTTTAGGATTTCTCTGTATCTGTTCTATCCCATTTACCTTTGGCATTTTTTAAAGGAATTATGGCGTCTTGTGGCTCTTTTAATTTTCTCGTCGCTTTCCATAAAGAATCGTTTGTATCTTTGAACGGCGTCAGATTTTCTAGATAAGTTTGTATTCCCTTATTTTTTTCTTCTTTTAACAGATTTTTAAGTCTTCTGGTAATTCTGTTGAGGTTTGCTTTGTCAATAGGTGCGTGTGCGTTTTGCCACTTTCTCCTTAGTTTTCTTTTCTCTCCAATCAAGCTTTTTGCACTCGGAGAACAATTTATACTTTCCTTCCATATTTTCTGTTCAGCAGTAGCACTCCATCCTGCCTTTTGTATGGAAGTAGTAAGATATTGTACAGCATATTCAAGTTGTATCTCTGTATTGAGTGAAAAGTTATTGATATTTGTTTTGTAGGTGCACTACGAATTATGTTCCAGTTTGTTTGGTTATTGGTTAGGACTGGAGGCTTACTTCTAAGTATGACTTTGGAGTCTCGGTCAATTAGAATGGGAGAATGGTCTGACGAAAGGCCCCAACATTATTCTATTGCGCAGTTGTTAAGAGATATACCTTTAATCACACAGAAATCTAAGAGATCGTGTGTTTAATTTGGAACTGTAGGCCAATAAGTTTGTTCTCCTGTACATATATATTGTAGGTTGTTTACTATTATTGATTTCAGGAGTTGTCTATCCCTTGTTGTGATTACTCTATAGCCCCAGTGTGAAGTATGTTTAAAATTTCCGTAATTATTCCTCTTAGAAAATTGCTTTTACGCCACCTATGTCTATATACGTCGATAGATGCCTTAAAAATAATCCATAAGCAACGAGCGATTTGTCATGCCTGTTCATAACAACGAAATGGCTTATAATGTGTTCCTTGCCCTTATTATCTTTCGTTAGTTAAATATAAATCCTTCCTCTTAACACAGAAGTTAATTTCTATTGTCGAACATTCTAAGAAATGCTGAGAGGTTGGTTTTCTACAAAATAATCTTTTCTGTCGAGAAAAAGTAGAGAAGATAGAAATAAGACCACACCGGACTTGTCAATTAAGTACCATTTTGGCGTGGCATTCTTCGGCCAATACTGCCACTCTTTTTTATCCCTAACTAGTTTGAATATCGAAAATCGAGTTCATTTTCGTTGTGGTTCCTGTTGCATACGATTGTCTTCATCAAACGGCAGTAAGTGTAATTTAGATTCACTATTCAGTCGATTTTTAAAATCGTAGTAATAGATATATAACAAAGAATGCTTGACTAAGATTTTGCTTTTAATGTTTACTGATGAAGTTTATGAATAAGCAATAATTCCTGTATTATATATTGTCATTAGATATTATTGTCATGTACGAAATTAAACTTTTTGTTATAGTTTGTAGTAACTTTTTGTTCGTGCTTTATTGTAATAAGTACAGATGCGTCTGTATACATTACAATGTGTCTGTGATAGGTCGGTAATGTCACTAGTTTTGAATCACCAGGTTATGTTTTTTTTTGCTTTCAGAGTTTAGGGGTAGTTCTCTACGTTTTGGTTTGTGGTTCACTTCCATTTGATGGTCCAACTTTAAATGCCTTAAGAAACGTGGTGATTGAAGGAAAATTCCGGATACCTTACTTCATGTCACAAGGTAAGTTTGTTTGTTAGATTTGTTCTTCGATTTGTGTCTTAAAATTTTTCAATCCGGCCACAAGATGACCGGTTTCGATGTAAGTGCTGTTTATCAGATAGTGATAGAAGAAAGGCGAACTCGAAAACACAACGACGGTCAGGTATTTGACATTTTCCACTGTCTTTCACCTATTTTTGTTCTACCATTATATACTGAGATAAAGAACCGTAAGAACTAGCAGACATTATGAAAATATAACTTAAAGAAGAATGTTTCAATCAAGATATAGTAATATAGGAAAGGACAAATAACAATGTCTCAATTGTATAAAAATGATGTATAGAAATGCCTATTACAAATAATATTGAAAAAAAAACTATCAAGTAGAACACTTATTCCAAATAACACCAAATGTTTTTTAGAGATATCTGAGAAAGCTCAGGGAATTGTACCGGGTGGTCCAATAAGCCGATCTCTCGGCTATATATCAGAAACTATTCATGTTATAACTTTAGGAGAAAAAATTCCTTAGTAAAAGTGGCCAAGAGAAATCGCTGGAAATAACTTTTAAGATTCTGGATTAACCGCTAGGGGGCGTAACCTGCGAAGAAAATTTTGAAAACCAGTTTTTTGGGAAATATGTCCAATTATACCAAGTGTTAAATAAGTAAACTAGAAAGGGGCATAAACTCTGCACAAAGTTGTTCAAGTACTTTTTTTTATTTTTTCAAATAAAGGGTGGGGAAGAGTGGGAAAGTGTTTGTGGATAAATACCTATAACTTTGGTTTGGATCAACCGATTTTAATGAAATTAGTGTCATTAGAAAGAGTGTGGACGAATTAATTTATGTCATACTATAAAATACTTGCATTTAGTCTTCATAGTCGTAGGTAGAGGGGACTTTCAAATAAAAAAAATTAAAATTTGTTTTTCTTCAAATTTTTTAATGGAAACACCTATTTATTGTAAATTATAATAAAACTGGATTAAATTCATAACAAAATGGAGCAAACCGCATGTTAATAGCTTTTGTTGAACTCGAGATATGAATAAAAACTCATAAACATAAGTAAGTATAGTATTGACACATCCTGTATAATAAATTACATTAAAAAATAAGTCAGTAGGTATTTTCAAATTTTTTTATAGCAGACGTTTTTTGAAACTAAGTAGGCTACGACAATGAATTTGACGGGGAGTTCATATTGTTTATTTATTGACAGCAGTCAAAGCATTGTTAAATAGTGCTATATTATAATTCGAATTAAAGATTGCACTTTTTTCAATAGATATTAATATTGGTAATATTAGTAATTAATTATCAGTACAAATAATTCGTGATGAGTATATCAAATTGTATGATATGATTGGAGTTTATTTTGAATGTCACCAAAAGGCCCCTATTGCCTCACGTATATATTTTGTAAGATATCCTGACAGGAGAAATTATGGCAAAGAAGTATTTGAAAGAAAGGCAAAAAGATTAAGAGAAACTGGTAGTTTTTCTCGTCCTTGTTTTAAACGACGTAGTAGAGTTATGACCGAAGATAATTCAATCAATGTTCTTGCTTTAATTCAACAGAATCCACATATAAGTAGTCCGAAATCTCTACTTCTTTGCCACAATATCTCCTGCCAGAATATCTTACAGAATATATACGTGAGGCAATAGCGCCATCTTGGTGATATTCGAAATAAACTCTAATCATATCATGCAATTTGATATACTCATCACGAATTATTGGTACTGATAATTACTAATATTACCAATATTAATATCTATTGAAAAAAATGCAATTTTTAATTCGAATTATAATACATATAATACTTCTTAACAATATTTTGACTGCTATCAATAAATAAACAATATGAACTCCCTGTCATATTCATTGTCGTAGCCTACTTAGTTTCGAAAAAACAATTTTTAATCATATGAAATAACAATGGTCAAAATAGGTATCAACATTAAGAGTTTTCTGCTATAAAAAATTTTGAAAGTACCTACTGACTTACTTTTTAATATATTTTATAATACAGGGTGTGTCAATACTATACTTACTTATGTTTATGCGTTTTTATTCATATCTCGAGTTCGATAAAAGCTATTAACATACGGTTTGCGCCATTTTGTTACGAATTTAATCCAGTTCCATTATAATTTACAATAAATGGTTGTTTCCATTAAAAAGTTTGAAGAAAAACAAATTTTAATTTTTTCTGATCGAAAGTACCCCCTACCTACGACAATTAAAATTAAATGCAATTATTTTATAGCAGATGTAAATTAATTCATCCATACTCTTTCTAATGACACTAATTTTGTTAAAATTGGTTGATCCAAACCAAAGTTATAGGTATTTATCCACAAATACTTTCCCACTCTCCCCCACCCTTTATTTGAAAAAATAAAAAAAAGTACTTGAACAACTTTGTGCAGAATTTATGCCTCTTTCTAGTTTACTTATTTAACACCTGGTATAATTGGACATATTTGCCAAAAAACTGGTTTTCAAAATTTTCTTCGCAGGTTATGCCCCCTAGCGGTTAATCCAGAATCTTGAAAGTTATTTCCAGCGATTTCTCTTGGCCACTTTTACTAAGTAATTTTTTCTCTCAAAGTTATAACATGAATACTTTCTGATATATAGCCGAGAGATCGGCTTATTGGACCACCCGGTACAATGGCAATTTTTGGATCTTTTCAAAGCAATTAATAAAATAATAGAAATGACGATACTCAACCTCAATTGCAAACTCGACCCTCATTCAGTGGTGTATTTGTGAATTTTTAGTTAGCATTATCCTCTTCAGACAGACTTGTACCTGCCATTGTATCATTATATACCGTGTGTTTCAAAAAGGTATGTCATAAATTAAATCACGCATTTCGAGGACAAAGATAAATTGATTGAATCCAACTTACCTTAGTACAAAAGTGTACACATACAAAGTTAGGTACAGCCATTTGAAGTTACAAAATAAAAATTGTTTTTTTTTGCATTATTTCCTACACTACTTGACATTTTGTAATAAAAATGGCAGATATGCATTTAACTTTGGGTAAGTTGGATCAGATTAAATTATGATTTCAATAAACTATCGGGAATCATATTCTCCTTACGGTGCCTTATCCTTAAGGACGTTGGCTATTACATTTGCCCATTTAATCTTATTTGTAGCAGCCCTGAATAGTTCTATGGAGGTCATGTTCGTCCATTGCCGTAGGTTTTTAAGCCAAGAGTTGCGTCTTCTTCCTGGTCCTCTTTTGCTATTGACTTTGCCTTCGATTATAAGTTGGAGCAGTTCACACTTTTGATTTCTTATTCTTCCGTTTCTTTTATTATAAGCATAAGCTCTCTTTCCTTATTCATCCCCTCAAGACTTCTCCATTTGTCGTATGGCTCATGTAGGATATTCTGAGCATTTTACGGTAACACCAGAGTTCGAATGCTTGGATTCTTTTTTGTGTTGCTTTCGTCGTTGTCCAGGCTTCAACACCATAGAGCAAGGTGGAGAAAACATGCACTTAAGTATTCTAGTTCTCAATGAGATGCCCAGCTGGCGGTTGCATAGAACTTTTGCATTTTGTAAAACATTGTACGTGCCTTTTCCAGGCGTATTCTTATCTCTATTGAATGGTCCCAAGTTTCATCAAGATTACTTCCAAGGTACGTTGTTCTTGTTACTCTTTCCAGATCTGTTCCGTCGACATTAACCTTCACAGTTCTGTTTTGGTGCTTGCTGATGACCATCGTTTTTGTCTTCTTTGTATTCAATTTTATTCCAATTCCTTCAGCATTATCTGTCCGTATGATAGTGTCATCAGCATATCGCAGGTTATTTAGACATTGCTCGTTTATAATTATACCATCCGAGGTGCCTTCCAAAACTATCGGGAATATCGTAGGTGAATGTCAAGTAAATAGTGCAGAAAACTCAAAGGCGTTATGAAGTAAAATACCCCAATCGAAATACACCCCGATAGGGATAGACGATTATTTCTGACATTGATCGTCGTTTATGGAAACGGGTACATTCCAACCGCAAGTTGCTGGCAATAGTGGTCGTTCAATAATAAATGCAACTGATGAAGACAGTTTAGAAATCATAGAAGTCCCTGGAACAAGTACAAGGGTAATAGCTGCTCAACTAAATGTTCCTCGCGTAAGGGTTTGATTTTGCGATTGGTTGTTAATGGAAAACACTCGAAATGTTAATTTTATTAGAAATATTTTGTTAACCGACTAGACTACTTTCAGTAGAAATGGAATAACGAGCATATTTGGGCCGATGAAAATCCTCACGCCAAAAAAAAACGACTCGTCACCAAAGAACTTTCAAAGTTAATGTTTGAGCAGGAATTGTGGATAACAATCTAATAGGCCCAGTATTTCTTCCCAACAATTTAAATGGTGATAATTATTTGCAGTTCTTGGCAAACGATTTAAAGAGTATTTGGAAAAGTGAATATTGCAATAAGTCAAAATATGTGGTTTCTACAAGATGGCGCTCCACCGCTTCAGTAATGAAGTCCGGGAATACCTTTTCAGGCAGTATCCTGGTCGCTGGATTGGAAGGGGTCGTGAGGCACCTATTTCTTGGCCACCCTGAAGTCCAGGTCTTAACCCCATGGACTTTTGCTTTTGGGGGTTTATGAAAGAGAAAGTGTATTCTCTAACAATAGAGGACGAACAACGATTGAGGGGTAGAATAATTGAAGCTGCAAATCAATTTCGCCAGAACAATATGATTTTTCAGCGCATTCGGTTTTCCTTATTAAAACGATACCGAATGTGTATTGAATAAAATGGGGATTATTTTGAACATTTATTGTAATATCATATTTATAGAGTTTATAGACATTTTTTGTATTTGTTAATTCATTTAAGCCATTTATTTAGTTGCACGTAATTTTTTAAAGGTTGATGAAAAGGGCCGTAAGTCAATAAACAACTTTTTTAATGAAAAATGCTTTCAGAAGAAGAAAGTTTATTACAAAATGTCTAATAGTTTAGGAGATAATGCAAAAAAACAATTTTTATTTTGTAACTTCAAAGGGCTGTAACTTTTTTGTGTACACTTTTGTACTAAGGTAATGGATTCAATAAATTTATTTTTGTCCCCGGAATGTGTGATTTAATTTATGACATACCTTTTTGAAACACCAGGTATAGTACATCCAAGCATCACCATAATTACTTGTTTCACTTATTGTTAAAATTTTGGATGAAATTTATCGAAGTTTCGTTTTTTAACTCCCATTTTTATATAGCGTAGTGTCAGTTACTTATTATTTTAAACATATTACAGATTGTGAGCATTTAATCAGACACATGTTGGTGGTAGATCCCGATAAAAGACTGACAGTTCCGCAAATATTAAAACACCGTTGGTTAAGCGACGCTCCTCTCATCGAAAACGTTATGCTAGAAAAAGAATTTCAATTAAACAAAACAGTGATAGACCACATGTTACAATTACCGAATCTAAATCAAAATATGATAGTGCAAAGTTTGAAGGCGAACTCGTTCGACCACATATACGCCATTTATAATCTCTTACTCGACAAATTACACCAAAGAACGATGAATTTCCAAACGAAGGTTCTCGAACAGAGAAGAGTCGATAACCAACAAAGGAAAGAAGAGCAAGCCGATGCAGGTGAGTTTTATTGATTACTTTATTATTTGTCTATAGAACTGTATGTTTAAACTTGTCTTGCAGATGATCAAATGTACAACAAATTACAAAAAATCAACGAGAGGAGTGAGTCTTTCAACGAAAACAGATTGGCCGTCCAATTGACCGCGGCGGGTTCGGACGGTTTGTGCGTGAAGCAAGATATGCAAGAACCATTCAACTACAGGCGAGAGAGCTTCAACGAGAACTGTCTGCGAGAAATGGAGGACGAATCCAGCGAGAGGTTAAAGTGCTCGAAGGAAAACGCTCCCGACGAAGTCGGTTCTCCTTTCGTTTCCATGCCGACGATACCGGCGGTTTATTTGGCGGGGGATCAGGAAAACCAACTATTGGAAAAGGTAAGGAGTCAATTTTATGCAGTTTTTATTGACTTTTGTTACAGACCGTTTCATAATCGATTAGATCCATCGAGTCCATCTTTTGCAAATCATATTATTATTGTTATTATTATTATACAGATTTAGCCATACGGCTCACACTCCCTCTAAGGGTAAAATTCCCTCATTGAGCTCTGGTGGGACTCTTTCCATGTTATCGAGTCCTATGTGACTTGGTACGTCGGTGTATCTCCTAAAAATTTTCGCACACATCTGGACGTCGAAAGTAGCACAGCTTTCTGCATGACCTTATATAGATGTTCATTTAGACCCAGCTTTTTTATGTTTTCTAGGAGGTTCTTCGGAATGACTCCAGTGGTAGAAAGAATAATAGGTATCGTCTGGGTACTTTCCATTCTCCATTGTCTTCTTATTTGTATTTCCAGATCTCTGTACTTGGCGATCTTTTCGTTGTACTTAACACCCAGATTATTGTTGTCAGGTATCGCCACATCGATTCGAGTTGTTTGTCTTGTTAGTTTATTAACTAGCACGAGATCTGGTCTTCTATGTGCTACAGTTTGGTCTGTGAGCACAGTACGATCAAAGTATAGCTTGTAGTTGTCATTCTCAAGCATACTCTCAGGAACGTATTGATAATATGGGAGATGGTTTGTTTGTAGAAGTCCCAGTTTAAAAGCTATCTTTTGTTGGAGGATCTTCCCTACTGAGTCATGCCGCTCCTTATATTCAGTTGCAGCAAATGCCTGGCAGCCTCCAGTAAGATGTTGAATAGTTTCTTGGGCTTGACATCCATATCGGCATTTGTCGTTTTGGATTTGAGGGTCTTTGACGATATATTTTAGGTAATTTTTGGTTGGTATAACCTGATCCTGAATGGCGAGTAATGAACCTTCTGTTTCAGGGAACATCTTTCCTGATGTTAGCCAATAGTTCGACGCTATATTGTCGACATGACAATATCGTTGACTGACTTCATTCGGATGTCGCCCGTGCAGAGGTTTACCCATCCAGATGCGCATTTTTCGTTCTTAGTAAGATGGTTTATGCGCATTTCTTGTTCCCTCGGGTTGATCGGTGTTGTGTCATCTACTGCGTAAATCGCGCGATGAAGAGTAGATATCTCCGCCTGTACCTGAAAATAAGTTCTTAAATTATTAATCTGTTTATCTAATTGCTCGCTTATATCAATGAGTCCTCGTCCTCCTAAATACCGCGGTAATGTCGTTCTTTCTACTGCACTTCGAGGGTGGTGTTTTTGTGCCTTTGTGAGATGTGTTCGTACTTTTCTCTGAATAGTTTCTATATCCGTTTTAGTCCACTTAATAATGCCAAATGAGTAGCTAAGCGCGGAACATGCGTAGGTGATATTATTATTAATATTACATAGTGTTCAATCACAAATTAATCTCTTAATTTGTAATCTAACATTATTCTTAACTTCTTAACTAATAAGGGCTGGGATCATGAAGATCCATACGCCCATTTACAAGAAAAATGAAATAGTACATTATAAAATAATTAGTTACCCAAATAAATATGAACTAGTAGTACTGGTAGAACTAATATATAGTATTGTTCAGTTTACAAACATGTAACAGTCTAGTTGGCTTTTAAAAGAATTTATAGATGGGAAATTTATAATTTCCGTTGGGAGACTGTTCCATATACTAAAAATACAATTACACAGAAAATGTTGGCGCCTTGTCCATGAAAAGGATTCCTTCTTCAGTTTCAAACAGTGACTACGTATTCTGCTGTGATGATCTAAAATAAACAAGTGCTGCAGATTTCCATATCCAAACTTTTAAAATTCGGAAGGTGATAATTAATGGAATGGTCACCATGGAATCGACGAGCTTCAAAAGTTGGTAACGCTGTTAAAGAAAGTCTTTGTGGGTAATCTGGCCTTCTTCGTTTGAAAGATAGTCTGGCGGCTTTCTTTTACGGCGGCTTTTAAATAACACAGGTTATTTTTTGCCAAATGTAAACTACACACTTATCTCTATTTAGAGGTAACATCCAATCCGAAAATCACTTGAAGATCGAATCTAAGTCACTTTGTAAGTCTTGTCCATTCAAATGTGGGTCATTAAATATTTTTGTATCGTCTGCGTAGGAAGCTTTTCTAGATATGATATGAGAATCAAGAACACAAATAGTAGTGGACCCAAAACAGATCCTTGTGGCACACCATTTTGCCAACTCTAACACAAAACTCCCGATTTGTTAAAAAATCATTAATCCACTCAAGAAGTTGTCCACGAATGCCAAAGTGTTCTAGTTTATACATCAATTTTCTTCTTGGTACCCGATCAAATGCTTTTGCAAAGTCTTAATATATAACATCTATAGGTCGTTTTTTATCCAATGCTGCTGTCCATTCATTAACACACCACAATAAATTAGTCATGGTTGATCGACTTTTCACAAATCTATCTTGTTGTAAACGAATAATTTTTTCTCAAAGCAAAAATTCTGAAAGAAACTCTGTGATAATTGATCCCATAACTTTACAAATAACAGGTGTAAGGCTTATAGCTCTACAATTATTGGGATCTAAAGTATTTCCTTTTTAAATATAGGTGTCACCGAGGCACTCTTCTAAATTCGAGGGAACGCATTACTAGTGATAGTGGAATAGAGAGGACATTTTAACATTTTTTCAAAAATAATATAGAAATTTTATCGGGCCCTGGAGATCAGTTGTTTTTTAATTTGTCAATATGGCGCTTAATGATTCCAGGTGAAAAATTGATGTAATCAATTTTGGGAATAACCCTTGAATGACTGATATATATAGGAAACTGATTTTGAGACAGTTCAATAGTAAAAACTTTAGAAAATGTATCTGCAAGAATATTAGCGACCTCATACGTATTCACAAATTGTTTCATCGTTCTTTTTTAACCATGGAATGAACACTTAAGAAGACATAACAGACCTAACATATTTATATAGTTTTTTAGAGTCGTGTAGTTTTTGTGAGTTTTCGCCATAATTTTCTTTTGTGTCTTATAAGTGATATCAATTCACCGTTAATCCACGGCTTAAGTTTGTTCCTATAGTAATTTTTTCTTGTGGTATTGCGTCTTTTGTAATTAAACTTTGATCAAATAAAAGGCAGATATCGAGTATAGTTTAATTAATTTAATCTTGCCTAAGTTCTTTCTGTCCCTAGAGCATCTTCAGGGTCATTTCGTCAATTGTGGCCTATCCGACAAGAATAAAATGTTATAAACATAAAATGGTACATCACACTACACTACACAAGGTTTACTTTAGAAAAGTTGTTGAAAATGAGAAAAAAATTGAATTTTTCTATATTTTTTTTTTCATAAATTGTTTAATAAAACATTTGACTCTCTTTTGAAGTGTCCACATAGTGAAATTGTCATTTCGAATAATATTTCAAAGAGAATAAAACAAAAAAATAAGATCATATACGATTTATCCCACCCAAAACATATTACCATCTGGTTTAGGAATTTATCGTGTTAAAATGTTCATTTGTGATACGAAATTATGTAACGTGACAAATTGAAAAGTAGGTTTCTCACACTTCGTACGGTCGATTAAACAAATTCGAACGAAACATTTTCATTTAGCAAACAACGCGTCAGGAGGCGGGTGTGCTAAGTTCAGTCATTTCGTTTGATTACATACTAAATTCCCGCGAAGTTTGCTTTGTTTCGCCAAAAAGTAACTCGGTTACAAAGTTGTTAATTTCTTTGTTGCATTAAATTAAATTCGGGATATGTCTGGGGCACGTGGAGTATAAAATTATTATTTCACAGACAAAGTATATCTTTAGAGTAACAAATAACAAGCTGGTGTTTGTTCTACGTTTGCTCAACTGATAAGTGTGACACTCTTAACTGGTCACTATCAAATGGTCCACATTCTACAGCAGTCGTACCTATAGATTCTGGTAGGTGTCGCATGTACCGTTCTGGTTTATTGGTAAATATTGTCTAGGAGAGCCATATTCCACCGTATAAACTAAACAACATTTTATAGGAAAGAAAACCGCCAAATTTCAACCGTCTTTAACGAACTTTTTCTTCTTTATGGGAATGGGAAAAAGTAGTGGAAACAGCAAAGACACACCAGAAACCGCAAAACCATAAATATATTTATAGTATAAATAAATGTAACCGCGAGTATCCAGTTACAAGAATCTTTGAAATCAGCCTTTTAGTTTGAATTTCAGCCTGCTTTTATACAGTAATTTAACACAAAGCTTAGTCTTAACTTTATAAATCATACTTACTTCTTTTATTTCAACTACCAAAAATCCTCTTTTTTTTTCAATGTTACTTTGGTTCCAAAGGTATAATTATAGAACAAAGTCGCTTTGATGAGTCCTGCTAGAGAAGAAGATCTGTAGAAGGGACTTAGGCACACTAATCTGAAGTTAAGTTTCCTGTCGAGATACTACTTGACTCCTAGGTACTTGGCTGAATCTTCTGATTGGATCCTGTTTCCTCCCATTGTGATTTCTATTATTGGTGTACCTATTTGTCTCTGGTGTGAACCTGATGAATTGCGTCTTTTGGGTATTGATTATGATTTTCAATTTTTCGGTATATTCTGTGATTCTTCCGAGGTGATTTTCTATGTTTTTTACTATTCTTCTATCATCCTTTCCTATAGCATTCTTGCTGCCCTGAGACGTCCCTTCTTGGATTTCTTGAAATCTGGAAATAAAGTAATCGAGCTCTGTCCATCTTGTAGATTAGGGCTTTCTTCCTGACCGTGTCATATGCCTTCTCGATGTTTAGGATAGCCATTCCTGTCTTCTGGCCGGAGAAGAGAGTGCCGCGAATTGCGATCTAATTAAAACTTGCAAAGGTTGCGAAAGAAATGTTGTTACCACTATTGTGAGATGTGTAACGTGTAAAGCAGTTTTCCATCCATCTTGTGCTCTAAGGGTAGCTGGCTTGGTAGTTGTTGGCAAAAATAACTTAGTGAAATGCTGTGCTATAGAAAGTGAGGTT